AGGGGGGTGTTAAAGTCCCCCATTATTATTGTATTGTTGTCAATGTGTCTTTGCTTTTGTTAATTGCTTTATATAATGCTTTTGTTATTAATTGCCTTATATAATGCTCCCATGTTAGGGGCATAGATATTTACAATTGTTAGATCTTCTTGTTGGATAGACCCTTTAAGAAGGATATAGTGTCCTTCCTCATCTCTTATTACAGTCTTTGGTTTAAAATCTAATTTGTCTGATATAAGGATTGCCACCCCAGCTTTCTTTTGGTGTCCATTAGCATGGTAAATGGTTTTCCACCCCCTCACTTTCAATCTGGGGGTGTCTTTGGGTCTAAAATGAGTCTCTTGCAGACAGCATATTGATGGGTCTTGTTTTTTAATTGAATCTGATAGCCTATGTCTTTTGATTGGGGCATTTAGCCCATTTACATTCAGGGTAACTATGGAAAGATATGAATTTAGTGCCATTGTATTGCCTGTAAGGTGACTGTTACTGTATATTGTCTGTGTTCCTTTCTGGTCTATGCTGCTTTTAGGCTCTCTCTTTGCTTAGAGGACCCCTTTCAATATTTCTTGGAGGGCTGGTTTCTTGTTTGCAAATTCCTTTAGTTTTTGTTTGTCCTAGAAGATTTTTATCTCTCCTATTTTCAGTGACAGCCTGGCTGGATATAGTATTCTTGGCTGCATATTTTTCTCATTTAGTGCTCTGAATATATCATGCCAGTCCTTTCTGGCCTGCCAGGTCTCTGTGGATAGGTCTGTTGCCAATCTAATGTTTCTACCATTGTAGGTTACATATCTCTTCTCCCGAGCTGCTTTCAGGATTTTCTCTTTGTCTCTGAGACCCGTAAGTTTTATTATTAGATGTCAGGGTGTTGACCTATTTTTATTGATTTTGAGAGGGGTTCTCTGTGCCTCCTGGATTTTGATGCCTGTTTCCTTCCCCATATTAGGGAAGTTCTCTGCTATAATTTGCTCCAATATACCTTCTGCCCCTCTCTTTCTTCTTCTTCTGGGATCCCAATTATTCTAATGTTGTTTCATCTTATCGTATCGCTTATCTCTCTAATTCTGCCCTCGTGATCCAGTAGTTGTTTATCTCTCTTTTTCTCAGCTTCTTTATTTTCCATCATTTAGTGTTCTATATCGCTAATTCTCTCTTCTGCCTCATTTATCCTAGCAACAGTGCCCTCATTTTTTATTGCACATCATTAATAACCTTTTTGCTTTCAACTTGGTTAGATTTTAGTTCTTTTATTTCTCCAGGAAGGGTATCTCTAATAACTTCCATGCTTTTTTCAAGCCCAGCTAGTATCTTTAAAATCATGATTCTCAACTCTAGGTCCAACATCACACCAATGTCCGTATTGAGTAGGTCCCTGGCAGACGGTACTACCTCTTGTTCTTTTTGTTGAGGTGATTTTTTTCGTCTTCTCATTTTGTCCAGAGGAGAATAGATGAATGAGAGAATAAAATGCTAACAAGTTAACAACATCCCCAGAAAAATATACTCTAAACAAATCAGAAAAGACCTGAAACCAGGGGAAAAGAAAGGGAAAGAAAGAAAAAAGAAAGAGAAAAAAAAGAAAAATATAAAAACAAAATCAGAACAAAACAAAACAAAAAATAAACAGAATATGATCAAATATGATAAGGCTAGTGCATAGATCAGTGCCACACACTAGAGTTTGGGTGTATTTTGGTCTGTTAGAAGAAAGTGCCTCCTAAAATTTTAAAGAAAGAAAGACTTATATATGTACAAAATAAGGGTTGATACAATGAAGGGGTGGAATATGACTGTAAAGATGAAAATTATAAAAAATTTTAAAAAAGGAATTGATAAGGTACTTGAAAAAAGAAAAAAGATTAAAAAAACGAAAGAAAGAAAAAAAGGGGAAAGAATGTGATCAGGCAGGAGACTAGAACAAAGCCATACACTAGAGATTTAGGGTATATTTTGATATGTTAGAAGAAACTGCATCTCAAAATTTTAAAGAGAGAACAACTGATATATATATGCCAAAATTAAGGGTAACTACTATGAAGGGATAGAATATGACTCTAAAAATGAAAAATAATTTTTTTTATAAAAAGGGGATTGATAAGATGTTGGTTGAAAAAGAGAAAAAGAAAAATTCAAAAAAAAAGTTAAAAAAAATTAACTTTGAAAGACTAATGAATCATGGTAAAAAAGCCATGAATTCTATGTGCAGTATTCCCCTAGCGCTGGAGTTCTCCCGTTCTCATTGGTCGGTAAACTTGGTCTTGGCGGGTTGTTCGTGCTGATCTTCTGGGGGAGGGGCCTGTTGCCATGGTTTTCAAATGTCTTTGCTGGAGGCGGAATTGCCCCGCCCTTGCCAGCCCGGGCTAAGTAATCTGCTCGGGTTTGCTTTCGGGAGCTTTTGTTCCCTACAAGCTGTCCGTACAGCTTTGGAGGATGAGAGTGAAAATGGCGGCGTCCCAATCTCCGCCCGGAGGAGCCGAGAACTCGGGGCCCCACTCCTCAGTGCACCCCTAGAGAAAAGCAGTCAGTCACTCCCATCTCCCCGGTCTCCAGCCGCACTCCGTGCTCACCCGGTCTGTGACCCAGCGTTTCTCCCTAGCACCCAACCCCGTGTGGAGTCTCCAAACCTAGCAGTTCCCTGCGGTGTGCTTGCGCGCTGCTCCTCCTGAAGGAGGAAGGGGAATCTCCCCAGATCTGCCGCTTGTTGGGACCCTGCTGGAGGAGCAGTGGCCCGACTGTGCCGCAGATCACGGTTTATGGCAACCCCAAGCTGAGAGCCCGCGCCTTGGCTCCGTCTCTGCAGCCGGCTTCTCCGCTCTGATACCCGGGAGCTCTGCCACACTCAGGCACCCCCAGTCTTTCTGTGACCCCGAGGGTCCTGAGACCACACTGTCCTGTGAGGGTTCCACCCCCAGCTTAGCCACTGGAGTGACGTCCCTCAGTGGAGCCGACTTCTAAAAGTTCCGATTTTGTGCTCCGAGGCTCTATCACTTGCCAGAAGCGGCGGACGGAGGCCCCCTCCCCTGCCCTCTATCCTCCTGAATAGCGCCTCGGATTCACTTCTCCGCACGTCCTACCTTCCAGAAAGTGGTCGCTTTTCTGTTCAGAGAGCTGTTGCTATTCTTTTCTTCGATCTCCTGTTGAGTTCGTAGGTGTTCAGAATGGTTTGATCCCTATCCAGCTGAATTCCTGAGACCAGACGAAATCCAGGTCTCCTACTCCATCTTGCTCCGCCCCTAGCCCAAGAATTCTAAGTTAAATTTCTGGTAATTACTCGAACTAAGGTAACTGCCTAAGACAAAACAGTTGATTGGCTTAGGATTGCAAATTCAGTTTTAAATTGAAAGCATCAAAATTAGAGATAAATGACCAAAAAAGATAAATTACCAAAAAGATTAAATCATAGGGATTTGATCAAAAAACAATATTCCAGGATACATACTGAGAATCAGAACAGATATATCTCACTATCACCAACTACAGCACATAGTAATGGACTGATGATCTTGAATCAGAAAATCATAGTGGTTTATCAGTGTACTTATGGAGTATATCCAGTGTACTCAGAGTTGAGTAGGCAAAGTGGGGGTATCAAAAGTACCAGATATTTAGCAGGTATTCAACCAATATTTGAGTTCATAAGCTAAGTGAATGAACACAGTATGGTCTCTACCCTCAGGAGCTTACAATGTAGTACAAAGATAAAACAGATATAAAAGAAACTTAATTATTAAATAATCTGAATACAGTTTACCCTTGAACAATGCAGGGGGTTAGGGGCACTGATCACCTGCATAAGTCTAAAATCCACCTATTAACTGATGCCCAAGAACTTAACCATTAATAGCCTACTGTTGACTACAAGCCTTACCAATAATATAAACAGTCAGTGAACACATTTTTTTGTAAGCTGTATATATTGTATTCTCACAATCAAGCTAGAGAAAATATTAAGAAAATCATAATACATTTTCAATACTGTACCATAAAATATCCGCATATAAGTGGGCCCACACAGCTCAAACCCATGTTGTTCAAAGGTCAACTGTATGTTTGTCAAGTTGTTAAGAAATCACTGAAGTTCTTGAATGGCTGAACATACACAACAGCTGCCAACTGATTTGAGCAATAGGATTCAAGTATTAAATTGCAAATTCTACCAGGTCAGTGGGAGTAAGTGAATTCACCTGCAGTGGAATAGTGAAGGCTTATTTACCTATTTCAAAATCTCTTCCCATATTCTACTACTTTGATATGGCCTGGGTGAGGGAGGTGTATCAGTTAAAAAGGTTTTATTTCTTAAAGTATAAATATATACACTTAAAGGTTAAACCTATCTGTAGCTTAATGTCACTAATTCAGTGAAATATATTGCTTTCTTCCTAATCACCAAATCACCCTCACTGATGATTTCAGAAGATGAGGTATCTGGAGAAGGAAATTCAAACCTGAGGAGGATGTTATGAAGAAATGCAGGTAGCTAAAGGCATGCAGGTAGGCAGCATTAGAAAAATGGCCTACTTTGTCTCCACAGACTCTCCTACCTTAAAAGCATCAGCTACAGCATTTGAAACCACCCCAACTGCTCCATTTCTTTTATGTGCCTGGAACTGTTAATGCCTGATAAATCCTATATATTACCATGCTTGCATTTAGTAAACAGTTTGATTAATAATACTCGTTTTACTCACACTTAAATAACTTTCTCACTTCTTAAATAGACTTCTCTAAGATTTTGAAAATAAATTTAAAAACAAATTTTTTTAAAGATTTTATTTATTTGACAGAGAAAGAGATAGCAAGAGCAGGAACAACAAGCAGGCGGAGTGGGAGAGGGAGAAGCAGGCTTCCCGCTGAGCAGGGAGCCCAATGCGGGGCTCGATCCCCAGGACCCTGGGATCATGACCTGAGCCGATGACAGACGCCTAACGACTGAGCCACCCAGGTGCCCTAAAATAATTTTTAAGGAATCAGGAAGCTTGATGTAGAATTTAGATCTGACTTTATTACCTTTTTTTATTACCTTTATCACATTGCATTTATTTAGTATATCCTCTTCACACCTTTGCACTGACTTGCAATATAAAATTAAATCTGTTTACATAAAATAATGTTCAGCTCCAATAAAATTGTAAAAAGATTACTTTTTAAAATGCAGTAAACATTTAAAACATTTTGAAATGATAAATAATAAAAATCAACATGAATCCAGTGACATTATCCCCCACATTATGTAAAATATCACATTATTCCCCACAAGAGTTCAATGCAAAAGAGTTCAATGCAAAATAAATGTTGCCTGATATTTTACAGTTTGTGTCTTTACCTCTATTCTCAGGCAGGTATTTCCTCTTATAAGTAATGCTTTAACTGTTCCTTACGAAGACATCTTACTCATTGTTACTGCATATTTATTTATCATTTATGATTGTTCACTAGTAATTATTTCCAAAGTTTTAGGGTAAAAATCATATTATATTCATTCATACAAAATAATCTTAATTTTTAAAATGTCATTATTTGTTATACTATTTTTAAGTAGTTTGCTAAACTGAGTGTTTTGTGGGTTAAACACACACAAAAAAACTACTTCTATTTCCCAAGCTGATAAGAACTCAGCTTATTCCTATTCCAGATATTAAAACCTTAAGGCTTAATCTTCATCATCTTTGAGAATTTCTAAAGAATGGGTCAAGTATACCACACTTGCATTTGTAAATTATTTTGCCCAGCGGCTTAATCAGGAATAATGCAAAGAAACCAGACTCTAAATTCATGCCAAATAAAATGATAATTTTTTTCAACCTATATAAAAATCGATCTTCTAAGGCATATGGAAAAGGAATACAATGTTTAACCGGCAGGACTGCTCAAGTACTGACAACTAAAATACTCCTTTCTTAGCAATGGCCCAAATGTTAACTTCTAGAGAATTTTGACTGATAGAATAAAATAATTCATGCCAATTAGATCATATAATTTTTGCTACTTTTGAGACAAAATATATAAATTAAAATAGTGTCTGTTTATATCACTTGCAAATGTCTATATACTAAAATTGCTACAGCCTATAAGGTACATACCACTTAGAAAACACAAATGGTCACACACTGCTCTTTTCAGGTATATTCATATAAAGATGAAAATCAGTATTTGTAGCATCAATAGGTCTGATGAGCAAATGTCACCCATGTAGGTATGACTGTCAAATCAATAGCCAAAGTGTGCCCTTGATTATAATCACTATTATAACTGAATAATCTGTAAATTATATCATGAGTTGTAATCCCCCATCCACTACCAGAACATGCCCTGTAATATATGGTGATTCTAAAAGAAACACAACCGCATGTGCCACATCAATAGGTTCTCCAAACCTCCCAAGAGGGATATTTTTCTTTAAATGTTCTTCTTTCAAGTCTTTCGTCATATCTGTGTGAACAAATCCTAAAAGAGAAATGTTTATTTAGTTGAAAAGGGTAGACACTAAGCCATCTGCTCAATTTCAAATAAATATAAATTTGCTCCTGAAAATTTGAGATTAACCAACTTGTTTAGGAAATACAGAGTTCTGCTAGCAATCAAATAACCAAGTCTACATTTTTATCCAATTTAACTCAATGAACATTTACTGAACACCAAAACATCTGATTCCCAAATATTTGGCCCAACTCCTAGCACAATATTAAGTGGGTAGATACAAACATGAATAAAAATTCCATTCCTTGGGGAACCTGTAGTTTATGGAAGAAACACTCACTTGTCCCCCTAAATATAATAAAATGTCATCTGGTGAATACCCTTATACACAAACTACCACAAAGAAGTAATTTTCACTTCATTGGGGGCAGAGGGGTAATAGGGTTAGAGGGAAGAAAGGTGGTCACATGAACTGATTTGGCAGGTCTGACAAAAATTAGTTTTGTTTGCTATAGCTAAGAGAGCTGATGATCAGAAAGACCAGTATTCCCAATATTCATAAGAAAAAAATCTTACGGAATGATCCTATTCTGGTGCAAGTATATACTGAAAATTCAAAATTTAACATGGCATTGGTAAATGAAATGAAGCTTAAAGAGAACATTTTCTAATGTATATGGTTCTGTGGTATAAAGTACCACATAATATATTAAACAACCAATTCTAAATGACTCATATAATAGATATATGCCAAAACTATAAATTTATTAAGAAAATCTAGTGAGATTAGTCTGAGACAAATACATATTACCAATAAAATAGTCAACTTACAAAATCAGTATACTGTACACTACTCATTTAAACTTCTAAAGAGAGCAAATAATCCTCATGAAATAAAAAAGATTTTTTTAATTTTAAGGTCATGAAAAATACATGGACTAAAAGACATGTGAAGTGAAAGATTAATGTGCAACCTCAAGAAAAGTTTTCAAAAAAAAAAAGAACAGTTTTCAGACTGGCTTGTACTAAAATTAAATCATTTGTAATTTAAACTGTAAATTAATCTAAAAACACTGCCATCTGAAGTATCAGGATAAATGTGAACTAAATACTCTATAAAGAATTAACCTAAGGTCACTGGTTTATTATGTAATACTATGTTATTATTTAATTTCTCTTTGCCTTAGGTTTCACTTATAAATATTTAAATAGGTTCTTAAAAGTCTTATGAGAAATGTCATAGATTTTTCTATCATGAAGCCTACAACAGGGACAGCTTTCTTAGGGAAAAACTAGAAACAAGCTGAATGTCTTTCAAAAGGGAACTATTTAAAGAAATCACGGTATAGCCACACAGTAGAACAATATGCACCTATTAAAAATGATGCTATGAAGTACATTTATGTTAAAAAGGTTACAAATGCATTATAACCCCATTAAAAATATATATATACACACACACAAATGACTAAAACAACCACCAAAATATTAACAGTGACTATCACTAAATACTATTACTACAAGTGATGATTTTTACTTTCTTCTCTGTACTTGTCTGTATTTTCCAAATTGTCTACATGTTATTTTGGTATTCAAATAAATAATTATTGAAAAAGATGCACAGTACTAACTTCAGATTGTCTGAAATGAGGACCTGGAATAAAAAAACAATGTTACATTATTTGTGTGTTTCATTGTGAAATATGACCTCCTCTGCCATTAAATCTTACCACATTTACTTAAAAAGTCCACCCCACTTCAATCCCTTTCATCTTTAAGAACAATGAGATGGCCAGAAGGAATGCAAGAATAAAGAGAAGTACATGCTGCAGATAATAACAACACTGGATGACCAGCCTCTGCAGAATTTCAAGTGAACTGTAAATGCAACCTCATCTACAGTGAAGAGTCATAATAATCAATAGGCAATCCAATTACCTTAAAAAGCACTATCATGGGACTTCCTGATATCCGAAGTTTTATGTCTTTGGACACACTTATTTTCAAAAATACCTCAGAGTATATTAGGGGGGAAAAAAAACTCATCTCACATATTCAAAAAGCTGAATTAATTAAAATTATGAATGTAACATTAAAGATCACATTATCTTCTCAAGGAGTTCATGATACACTTACTTTATTCTAAGGTTGTTTTGAATTCTGGCAAAACTGGCATAAAATATTTCCCCACTAACTCTCAACACCCTCAGCAGAAAATCAATAACGTGTTTTAATCTTAAAGGAAAAAACTCGGGGTGCCTGGGTGGCTCAGTCAGTTGAGTGTTCAACTCTTCATTTCAGTTCAGGTCTTGATCTTGGGGTCATGGAATCAAGCCCCGCATCAGACTCCTCACTCAGCAGGGAGTCTCCTTGAGATTCTCTCTCTTCCTCTGCTCTTCCCCCAGCTCTTTCTCTCTCTCTCTCTCTCTAAAATAAATAAAACTTTTTTAGAAAAAAATTCAAAAAAACTACAGTAAAAATGTTTTTGCTAGAAAGACCATGTAACGATGAGTTAGCGAATTCCAGGCTCAACTTCCGGTGAGCTTTTTTGGTTCTGGGGACTTTTTCTCAAAAGCAGCATTTTGTGATAAAAAGACCACTGGATTAGGACACATTAAACTAGATTCTGGTTCCCTACTCTGCTAATACTATCAAAGCTATGACCCAAGCAAAGTCATGTACTACCTAAAACTGTATGACTGTTTCTGTATCATAAAATAAGTGAAGTAGATTGAAAATGATGGAGCCCTGAGATGTCTTTTAGCTCTACAAAACTATGATTCGAAGATGAAAAGTATGCCTCATTAAATGACAACTTTCCTTGAAGATTAGGAAAGTGAGCTCCCCTAAAAGAACCCTCAGTTCCTACATTGGTAGCTGGGTGGATAATTAGAATAGCTCCAATTCAGGAAACACTGATGCTAATCTAGGTTTTTATTCATTCTGTGCAGAAAGAAACAGATTTGGGTGGATGTCAGTCCTGGTATGTTTGTCCTTTTGGAGACAAAGAGGCCACACATCTGGGAGAGGCCATTTGAAGGCATTTCCACCTTGGAAAAAAAAGCAGGTCTAGAACAGAGCATGAGGTACAGAAAGGCAAACCTTGGACAGAAAGAGAGATTTAGACAGTGAGACACATTTAAGAACAATCCCACTGAGATGGAAAGAAGTCTTATGCCACATAGGTATAGGCCATGAGGACAGACTATTTTCTTCCAAAGAACAACCAAATAAGCCAGAAACATGGAATAAAGGCTAATACCTTGAAGCTTTTGATAAGGTCTTGTTCAACATTACAGCGTAGATTCAGCCCTGCCATAGTCTGTGTCCATTTTAGGTCAAATTTGAGGAGAGGTATCATCTGAATCCAGCAATGAAATCATGATGTTCAGATACCCACCTCACTTGAAGATTCTCCCTCCACTGCTCAAGCTTGGAAGATAAGGGTGTTATTTCACAAGGGGAAGTCTGCCACAGATTCTCCCCAGGTCTATGAACAGATAATTATAATGACAATCCTCATGGGATAGCTGCTAGCCAACCCTGAACACTAGACAGAAAGACTAAAATGAAGTGGGCATCAGAGGCCAAGTTGAAAGGAAGGGATTAATTCACCAATACTGGCTTTTCTTCTTTGATTATGATGTTTGATATAGAGACCAAGAACATACCCAAAGAGGGGTGCCTGGGTGGCTCAGTCGTTAAGCGTCTGCCCTCGGCTCAGGTCATGATCCCAGGGTCCTGGGATCGAGCCCCGCATCGGGCTCCCTGCTCGGCGGGGAGCCTGCTTCTCCCTCTCCCACTCCCCCTGCTTGTGTTCCCTCTCTCGCTGTGTCTGTCTCTATCAAATAAATAAATAAAATCTTTAAAAAAATAAAATAAAATAAAGAAACAGGTCCTGACTTTAAAAAAAAAAAAAAAAAAGAACATACCCAAAGACCCAAGAGCAGCTTGGGTCTCAACATTATCAGCAGCTTTTTTTTTTTTTAATTAATAGACTTATTTTTAGTGGTTTTAGGTTTACAGAAAAACTGAGCATAAAATAGAGGGGGTTCCCATATACTCCCTTATCACATTACCCCTATTTTACCCAATTATTTATAGCTTGCCTTAGGGTGGTACATTTGATGGTCCAATATTGATACGTTATTAAGTAAAGTCCATAGTTTACCTTAGCATTCACCCTTTGGCTGGTATAGTTCTATGTTTTGACAAACATAAAATGTAACATATCCACCATTACAGTATCATACAGAATAAATTTACTGCCCTAAAAATCTATCTGCAGCTTTTAGAAACTCATGTGAATCTTTTTTTTTAAAGATTTTATTTATTTGAGAGAGAGAGAATGAGAGATAGAGAGCACGAGAGGGAAGAGGGTCAGAGGGAGAAGCAGACTTCCTGCTGAGCAGGGAGCCTGATGTGGGACTCGATTCCGGGACTCCAGGATCATGACCTGAGCCGAAGGCAGTCGCTTAACCAATTGAGCCACCCAGGCACCCAAAAAACTCATGTGAATCTTTACCAAATTTATCAGAAATCAGATAAAAAATGTGAAGCTAATCTCGAATGACTCCAGGGCCTACCAAATTTCAACGTCATTTTATGCTATAGCTCATAAACCATGTGATCCCCATTTATAAATATATTGGCAACCCAGGTCACTGCATATAAACAGCCTATTGGATTCTCTATCAGATATCATAGGACCTGAGCAGAGATTTTAGCAGTCCTTAAACATTTCACATACTCATTTTTGTGCTTGTATTGCTCTCCAGTTTGTGCTCTCTCCTTGGCCTAATAGGACTCTCTTCCATATCATTTTGTCACTTTATTTATAAAGTTCTGGAAATTTTGCTCTCCTACTCACTTCATTATGTATGTATTTACAATGCCTTTCAAGCTGGGCTATGAAAATTATAAACTACCAGTAGGTGCCACTGTCCAACAAATGATGTTATTGATCACTTGGACAATTAGAGGTTTCCAACTGGAAACAAACCTTAACCTTAAACCAACAAATAAAT